GCTACCAAAAGGAAATATAGGATATACATCTAGCAGACAAATACATCTGTGATGAGTTTCATCGTTAGAATCCATGTGAAAGTAGATTTGTATGTGGGGAAACAAAAGAGAGATAGATAGATGTTTTAATTCTTTCACGTCGGGCACAGTGTACAGTTCTACCCAACATTGGTTTTTAGATATTTTTGTTAAAAGTAAGCCAGTTTTCAGAAAATAAGTTCACCTCATTTATGAGGAAGGCAAGAAGGACTGTGGACTCTGTGTAGATTTTGACCCATGGGACATAGAACTGCAGTGAGGCATGAAATGGAATGAAATAATTTAATGTGCTGATTTTTGATCTGACCATTTGGTAGAATAAATATTATTTTACCTTCACCAAAAGAAAGCAGAAAGCAGAACTCCAGCAGTTTGATCTATAGATTTCTGCTTATCTCAAATAATATTTTGTATTTATAATTCCATGAGACATTTGTATGTGTACATAATATCACGGGGGAAATGTCCGAGGTACTGCAATGCAGTGGCTGCTTTTTAAAAAGATTTTTTCCCTAAAAGTTACAATAAAACCTATCTAATCTAATCTATTCTATTTTATATTTCTGGGCAACAGAAATTCTTCTGAGTGAATTACAGTTATAAATATAATAGCTTGAAATCAGTGCTGCTTTGGAATAGCAGTTTTTCAATCCAGGTATATTTTATTTTAAAAAGACATTAAACCCCATCTTTCAATTTAACAAGGATTCCTAGTTACTTACCTTTAAAATTATAATTACACATCAAATACAATAAAATTTAAGTGCATTGTGGAACATTGAAGCATTCATCAAAAGAATTCAGAGGATTAAAAGAAAACAATAAAACAGGAAAAGAGTAATTCATCATAGACGAAACATGAAAGTTACATATACAAGTCTTGACAACTAAAAGCTAGGGGGGGCCAACTTATTCCATCTGCAAAGAGAATGTCATCATTTAACAGTATAATAAAATAATTTCTTGTTCCCAGCATCTGTATCTCTGGCACCTAGACTAAATGTTTAGCTGCAAATGTAATGGGTAGATGGGCCACATTTCCCAGCCATCATGTCTGCTGTCCTTTGCAAAATCCATACCAAAATTGCTGATTAATTTCAAAATATCATTGACCATATCCTATGAAACATCAGCCAATTAGATGTCCAACAACTTGCTGAGATAATTCCAGTGTGAGATTACAAATTCTCAGTTTTGAATCAACAAGAGACACCTTGAACAATTTCTAGAGCTTTATTGACTTTTTTCCTCTTCTGGGTAGAGGCGCAAGGGCAATGAGACAACGATTGTACAGAGTTTTATACACTCAAGACCCCAAAACCTCCCACCTTCATCACTGCCCCATTGGCTAAAATGAGCATTGGAAGATTCTCAGATGCTTTTTAGGATGATGCCTGGGTTTACAGTCTAACGCCATAGTAACATGCTTAACAATCATTTACTTAACATTTGTTTATTAGTTGCTACATCTGGCCATGTTTACACTAACTAGTATCTTTTCTGGGTCATCATGACAACTATCCTCAAATAGACTTCTGCTTAAGGTTATGCTGAACGGATTTCATTTTGTCTGCACTTCTGTCTGTGTTAATGTTTCACTGGGGTTTTTAAGGTTATATAGAAAAACATATAGAAGAGAAATATGTTGATCCTTTTACATTTTTCTTTTACAGGAATAATTATTTCTTCTTTTTTACTTCTCACATCCAGGAATTCCTGGCAGAATTCCCATTGACACAGATAATTATCACCAGGTAGTCTGTCAAAAAGGAACTTCAGCTTCTGCACCAGTCTTGGTTGTAGAGTCTTGGTTGTATCTAAGTATTATCTATTCCAATATTATCTTTATTGTCATCTGAGTATTTGCTCTTGCACATAAATGGTCTACTATCACTAGCAAAAACTTTAACGTACCCACTACTGGCGTCTCAATGTAATCCACTTGTATTAGCTGAAATGGCCAGGTGACCAAGGTCCTTCCCCCTGCTATCTGCTGACTCATAACCTTTTTATTTACTTTCACACAATGCATACACCTCCTTCCCACTTGCATTGCTATCATATACATTTTTCCTTTTTACAAAATCTATTAATACTTGTGTTCCCTCATGCACTCTATTGTATGTTTCATAACTGGCTTATTTACAATTTAATATTTACTCCTTTGTTTTCCATTTCCCCTCAACCTTCTCTGTCCCTTCTTCTATCATTTGTTTCTCCTCATCATTCGTGAACTCGGGTTTCACATTACATTCCAGAGTAGAGATTAAAACCATCAACCCCCAGTCATGCAGTTTCCTTTGCAGTCTCATCCACCAATCTATTTCCTCTCTTTCGAGGCTCCCTTTCTACATAATACTCTATATGTACAACTTCTTGTTTTATTTTACTTCTTTCCCTTTATTGGTTGTCAGTTCTCTCTCCATCCATATCTTACCAAAGATTTGTAAAATCCCATAAGCATATTTTACATCAATATAAACATTTCCAATTTCATTTGTTAAGTAAGGGGAATATCTTCACAAGTGATTAATGGTTAACTACCTCCAGAACTTCAGCAGTGTCTCCATTAATCATTAACCACTGTATACCCATTCCTTCTTTTCCCTTTTCTACTCATTTTCTACTTTTTCTATTCATCAATAAATAAGGTAATGCCACCTTCTCTGGGGCTTTCATCCAATTCCTCTCTTACACAACATGTTCTACATTTTCCCATTCCTTCCTCTTCCCCCTTGACAGGAATCTAGCAGGATTCAAATTCCTATCAGTCTAGAAAACTAATTTCTCCTGAGATAAAAAATTCCTCATATTTCCATAGCCCAGAATTTATGAGTCACTTGTGAGCTTTCTGCATCAGGATTGTTCTTACCTGATGAGGACAGCTCACCACCCAAAAGTTAATTTCCTCCACCAGTAATGCGGTAGCAGCCACAGCATGAACCAACCACACACTACAGGATCCATATTTGACAAATATGCTACTGGTTCCATCTTTCCAGCCCATGTTTGAGCTAACGCTCCTTTAGCTATTCCACCCTCTTTCCATTTCATTCCCCATGATTCTTCTTCCAGCAATTTTTATACAGGAATTTAACCTTTCCTATATATCCGCTTATCATCAATAAAGAATTAAATCTCTCCACTTAAGGGAGTTTAATAAAATCAAGTCGAATGCATTGAAATGGTCTTATGCTAAAGTTGCCTAAGTAGACCTTGTTTACTAACTCTTTTATGCACTATACATTTCTCACATATTTCTCACAATCCACGGCATCTATAGGCTTCTACAAACAATTCACATCATACCTTAGTCCCCTAATTACTATCCTGATGATTTTCTCTTCCCATCTACAACCCCCCCTTCCTACTTCTCTCACAAGGCAAAAAGTACAGGAGGGGGGAATATAGGGAGGGAAAATATTAAACTACACAGAAATCTCACCTCTTTTCTCCACTGAGCACCATTCAACAAACAATTCTCTCTGTATTTCTCTCTAACTCACAGATATTTTCTACAACTTTCTCTCCCACTTCTCCATGGGATCTTTCTCATTCCTCATTTCTTTGCCTTGCTATTGCCTTTACAACAACAAAACCTTGCAGCTTACTGTTTCTTTTTACTAAAAGGAATCCCTCTAAGGGAATTAACACATAGGCATTCACAGGTCTCAGGATCAACTTGCCTTATCACTCCTATGAGCCTTAGGACATTTCACACACACTCACATTTGTACTACAATCAGACTTTTTGTGTAAACAATTTCACATACAAATATTTTATTTCATGCTTTCTCCATGCAAACCATCATAATTATTCCAGGGAGCTTTTTCACAAGCTGATGAGTTCCATTTTCTAAATACTTTTTGTGTACTATTATTAGAGGGTCTCATCCTCCCTGCAGGTTTGGAAATGATTATACACAGACACATTCACACACTATTAAACAACATTTCCAGACCTGGGGAAGTTTTGTCCCTTAAATTCTCCATTCTTTCTATCCTTGGGTGACCTGTAGGTCATTCTTCAAGCAGTGGGTTGAGCCATACATATCACAATCAGTTCAATCCCATTCACTCCTACATGCTATTATTATAGATGTGCATCTAAGAATGTTTAACAGGACATTCACATCAAAATATAACTATCTGAGTCTTCCCATTTAGACAGGCTTTTATTTTTTTGCCTGTAAACCCCAGGTGGGAAGACCACCAAACTTTTCTTCCTTACTCTTAGTTCTTTCAGAGCTTTCTGGCTATATTCTCAAGGTCTTTATAACACTACAGTATTTCTTTTTTTCCATTCCTTCTTCCTACCACACATAACAGCATAAATTAACAAAATCTTCTTTGGTCAGCCCCAATGTCTTACTATATGAAGGGGCTTTCCAATTATTTAAGCACTAGCTTTTTACCTGTCTCTGCCCTGAGGATATTTTATCTCTTCTAACAACTGGGTTCTCAATTTCTTTTTTTCTCAAACACCCTTTTTAGGGCATCTACCCAATATAGGTCAGATTCTCCACATTTATTCCATCTATAATTTTGGTTCTACTAAACTAAATCCAGCCAAGTCCCTGTGCAGTATTTATCATTGTCATTTTATTCAATTGCTTAGCATATGGACTAAGCCATTATTCTCCATTAACTCAACAATTCCCCTAATGGAGAGATGTGGGGGAATAATATTCTTTATTATTCCCAGGATCCCTAACAACGTTTCCATTTCGAGCTCCCATATTTCACCCAAGACTTCATCTATTCCCCCCTTGAACACCTTTACCCTCAGTCACCACTCTACATGTCTAACCTCTGGCCAATCCAGTTACCTGGGTATGACAATGCAGAGGAAAGCTTAATAAACACCAGCACCTCCCTCTAGTGCAACCAACATACCACCATCATTCATTCAAGGAGAAATAACCACCAGTGAGACTACTCAGTACCCAGTACCTACTCACCTGTGCCAGTGCTGGACTATCCTGTTCGGGTGACACCTCCCTGGTTGTTCAGATCTCCCCGTCGGTTCATTTTCGTGAAGAGTAATCCACTGCTGGAGAAGAAGGAGCCTCCTGTCCCAGACACTAAACTCAGTGTGGCATGCCTCCAGGTTAAAGGCAGCTCCCTCTCCTCCAGAGGGCAGAGTCTTCAAATTCCTGTTTGGGCGCCAATTGTGAGATTACAAATTCTCAGTTTTGAATCAATAGGAGACATCTTGAACAATTTCCAGAGCTTAATTGACTTTTGCAAAAGCCGGCACCTTGTCCTCTTCTGGGTAGAGGCACAAGGGCAATGAGACAACGATTGTACAGAGTTTTATACACTCCCCAAAAACCTCCCACCTTCATCACTGCCCCATTGGTTAAAATGAGCATTGGAAGATTCTCAGATGCTTTTTAGGATGATATCTGGGTTCACAGTCTAACTCCATAGTAACGTGCTTAACAATTATTTACTCAACATTTGATTATTAGTTGCTACATCCAGCCATGTTTACACTAACTAGTATCGTTTCTGGGTCAGTATGACAACAATCCTCAAATAGACTTCTGCTTAAGCTTATGCTGAATGGATTTCATTTTGTCTGCACTTCTGTCTGTGTTAATGTTTCACTGGGATTTTTAATATAGAAGAGAAACACATAGAAGAGAGATGTGTTGATCCTTTTACATTTTTCTTTTTCAGGAATAATTATTTCTTCTTCTTTACTTCTCACATCCAAGAATTCCTGGCAGAATGCCCATTGACACAGATAATTATGACCAGGTAGTCTGTCAAAAAGGAACTTCAGCTTCTGCACCAGTCTTGGTTGTAGAGAGTGCTCCTTGACCTACTTGCCAATGATATTAATGACATACATGCGTACAAGATCAGCTATAAATTATAAACTTCAATGTTAGTGTTTTTTAATAACTATATCATCCCACTTAGGAGATATTTAGTGTCACCTGTTTGGACAATGCACCCATGAATATCTCCAATTTGTCAGGATTAAATTTACTTTTATTTTTATGCTCCCTAATCCAGTCCTTGGGATTATTGATCCCAAGGACTGGTTTGATAATTTCTTCGAGAAATTTCTTCTTCAAGAAATTGTGAATTAGTTTGCCGTGCTTTCATGTAGATGGTTGGAAATACTGGGAACTCAGTGGACTCTTGTAGGTTTTTATAGCATTATAGCATTACGGCCAAGATGGATTACATTCTGGAATTATCCCACCAATTTAGAACAAATGAAATCATGGTTTATTTCTTAAGCCATAATTTTTTATGAACTTGCATGTTGGTCTTAAATATGCCATCAAAAGACTTTTTTTCTGAATGAATTCAGGGTGCAAGGAAAAGATGGGCCATTTAGCCATACTGGGCTAAAAGGTGTGCTATGATTTACAGAGTAACATAGACTAATTGAATCCTTTGTTGTGTCTGATGTTTATATAGCTGTTGTGTACTTGATTGAAGACAGAATCACAATTTGATGATTTCTGTAATAATTTATCTTTGAGTGTTTACCCATTAATGTTGGGTTCCTTGCTTTTCTTACAACAAGGACGTTATATTACGTCAGTTTTTCAAGATACGTCTTCTTACATTGCCTATTTATTCCCCCCCCCCCCCCCCCCCCCGAGTGACAGACACTGAGGAGCGCTGTATTTGATGGATTTACTTGTCACTGAGTAGACAAACAGGCCCACTGGGAAGGTTTCTAGTGCTGATCTGATACTTTCCCAGGTATTATTTTTGGCTGCTTATGGATGGCACCTCTTCTGATAATGCTTTTGTAGGAGATGTGCCAGTTACAGAAGCTTTTTTGGGTACAGATCCAATTCAATACAAAATTTAAAATATTATGGTATTTTTCCTACTCTTCATTAACTTGCATCATCACCATCTGTCATTATTATAGAGATTCTTATTATATCAAACCCTGGATAATAATATAATAGCAACAACAACATTAATACTTTTTTTGCCTGCAGGCTCTAACAATCATTTTTAAAAATGGGCTTTGTGGGGAAAAAGGGAGTCTATTTTGTAGTACTTTAGCTGGAGAGATAGAAAGGTGCAAAAAGAATTACAGTTATACCTATACGGTAATTAAAATAAAAGGTCAAAAATCCAAGATGTCAGATAGAACACTAAGAAGAAAATGCAAAGGAGAGAGTATTGCTACAACTCTTCATACAACTTTTTTGTTTTGGAAGATATCTAAGAGATATTTTAGAATAGAATAACAGAGTTGGAAGGGACCTTGGAGATCATCTAGTCCAACCCACTGCTTAGGCAGGAAACCCTACATCACTTCAGACAAATTGTTATCCAATCTCTTAAAAACTTCCAGTATTGGAGCATTCACAACCTCTGTAGCAGTGGTGGTATTCAATTTTTTTTAATACTGGTTCTGTGGCTTGGTGGGAGTGGCAGGGGAAGGAGAGGTAGTATTTGCCAGTTCTCCGAACTACACAAAATTTCTGCTACCGTTTCTCAAGAACTGGTCAGAACCTGCTGAATACTACCTCTACTCTGGAGGCAAGTTGTCCCACTGATTAATTGTTATGTCAGGAAGTTTCTCCTTAGTTCTAGGTTGCTTCCCTCCTTGATTAGTTTCCATCCATTATTTCTTATCCTACCCTCAGGTGCTTCTGAGAATAGCTTGACTCCCTCTTCTTTGTGGCAAGCCCTGAGATAATGGAACACAGCTATCATGACTCCCCTAGTCCTTCTTTTCATTAAACTAGACATACCCAGTTCCTGCAACCATTCTTTATAAGTTTTGGCCTCCAGTCCCTTAATCATCTTTGTTGCTCTTGTATGCTCTCTTTCTGGAGTCTCAACATGTTTTTTTACATCGTGGCAACCAAAACTGGATGCAGTATTCCAAGTGTGGCCTTACCAAAGAATTATAAAGTGGTATTAACACTTCACATGATCTTGATTCTATCCCTCTGTTTATGCAGCCTAGAACTGTGTTGGCTTTTCTATCTTGTTTTCTACCTATTCTCAACTTGACAAATACACATTATATATGCAGCCATGTGCATAAATGTTTTGCAACACTTTCTTTTTTTAAAAAAAATATTGATTATGTGTTGAAGCTTCTTAATCATGACTGTACAGATAAAATAACCATATAAATATCATTCAGGAGACAAAAAAAAATTGAAGGAAACTTCAGAAAAATCCTCCATGTATGAGGTCAAGAACTTATTTTCTAGGTCTTCTATAGCCTCAGAAATGCAGACATATCCCTGGCTCAAATATCGTAGTGATTTACAAGGCTATGTCATATGTCTTGCACTTCATGTAGGAAGTGGCAGGAAAAGGACTCTAGTAAATAAGCTTTTTATCTGTTACAGCTGCAAGTTATAATGAGTTTGAATCGATTCAGAAATAAAATCCAGATCCATTATAGCAATGTGAATCATTAAAAACAATCTATTTGGAGTTCCTTCTCAGCTTGTTGATTGTGCTTTGGCTGCTCTGCATGCAAAAACAGCATGTTTCTCAGATTTTTTTCCTAAAGAGTGAACTATACAATAGTCCTTTCTTAAAAACAGTACTGATTAAACATTTTATGTCATTATAAGGGAAAATAATATGGAGAACCTTTCCTCATCTTCTGCAGAAACTTTTACAGTACATGGAGTGTATTACCTATTGAAAAACAAAATATGCTTTTCTGCTAGGTTGCCTAATTATGGGATATTTGTACATTCCAATTACTACAGTTCTGTCTTTGTTAGGCACTGACAGCTTGCATCTCATGGGCTGTACTTTATCAATCCAGTAATGTAGTCTCTGCTTGGCTTATGCCCATTTTTGTCCAACAAGAATGGTCAACAAAAAAATGAGAGGTGATAAGCCACCTGGGAAATCCAAGTAAAGTTAGAGTACGACACCAGAAAAAATACAGCATACTTCACTTAATCCTCCAGAGAAAGATTGAAGGCAAACAAGGCCCAGACAGAAGAAGAACATCATGGCTTCAAAATCTAAGGGACTGGTTTGGACAAAACTCAGCAGCACTTTTTCATGTGGCTGTTGATAAAAATAGGATCACCAACATGATCACTAATGTGCAATGATGGATATGGCACAACAAGAAGAATGGTCTATGTTTCTATTCACCTTTAAGTTGTGCCCCCCATTTCTAATGGTGCTGCCCTCATCTCATCTTTTTATTAACCCTTGCAAACAAAGCTTTCTTATGTCAAATGGAACAACCATTGAGTTACACAAAACATCTCACATTTCAAGCCATTCCATAAATCATTTGTCTCAAAGGAACATCCTTATATCTTAACAGTTACACATGAGAGCCTAAATATATATAGAAAAACCAGAGGATATTTCCATGAATGTGCTGGCAATTATACCTCATCAAGAGTTTGGCTCCCTACAACCTTCACTGCAATGTCTGAGGCTAAATTCTATCATTACTTCTACAATAACAATACTTAATCAAAGCCTTGACTGTGCCCCTGGAGGGACTTATACCATCTTATCTCCAGGACTATACATTATTTTCTAAATGTATAGACTAGACTACTAAATGTATAGACTAGACTAACTAGACTACTTTATTTAGTTGAGCCATACTTTTCTGCTCTTTTTTTAAAAACTTTGAACATTCTCTAATATCATGGTGCATATTAATTAATGCATATATTTTAGGAGCATGAAGCTTGGCATACATGAACATCTGGATTATTTCTAGAAGCATCCTAATTTTTATGATCACTGGATGCAATTTTCCCAGAATATTCTATTTAAAACATTATATTCTGATGGGTGATAGGAATTTTGGTTTGCAAATGAATTTGAGACGGGAAAGGAAACACAGATTTACCCTTTTGACCAGTGGTCACCAACCAGTGGCCTGGGGACTACTGGTGGTCCATGAGAAAATTTTGGTGGTCTGCAGAAAAATGTCACCCCCAAAGCAATTAATCCAGGCTGCACGGGAACACAAAGCTTGTGCCACCCACTTGTGGCCCATGGGAACACAAGTCGTTGCATTGTGAACAAGGTAGTGAGGGGAGGGGGAAAGGGAAGACAGGGGGGAACTTGCCCCACTCACCCCACATGCCTCACCTGGCCACCAGGCTGCTTCTTTCCACTTCTTTCTTCTTCTGCTTTTGGTTGCATGTAAGGAAAGCAGCAAAAGTCTTTCTTTCTCTCCCCCGTAACTCTGTCAGAAATGAGTCTTTAGGACCCTGCAAGGCATCTTGCTCTAAGAGGCTGCACCAGCAAAGATTCATTTCTGGTGGAGTTTGGGGGAGAGAAAGGAAGACTTCTGCTATTTATGCTGCTTTGCTTGCATGAAGCCAAAAGTCAGTCAGTCAGTCT